CTGGTCCAACTTTCCAGACTGCTCAGTATTACAGCAGCATCCTGCACATGGCAAAGCACACTTGAGAAAAGCAGATCTCATGCTCTAACACAGAGTGGTGGAGGCATTTTAATGATTTCATCCCTCATCCTCAAAACACTCAACAACAAAAGAGTAAAATAACCAAGTGCTAAATTCAATATGAGCAAACATGTGATGTACTCTATAAATTCTATAAATAACTAGGAAAAGGAGAAATCAGTGCTTCCAGGGGAGATTCCAGAGTCACTGTTTAAACCTTGAACTGAGCCATCAACAAAGAGTACATTTCCAAATACAGAAAGACATGTATGTTGTCTTCAAACTGAGGCCACCTCAAAAACAATGACTTAGAGTCAAGAAAGGACTTGGGGACAATGAAGAGGCTTCCTTGTCTTGGAGAAGGGGAGCTATTCAGGGAACAGTCAGACCCAAGATTGGAGCAGCAGACCCAAGACACACACAGAGAAAGGCCTTGAATGCTAAATGGCTTTGGATTTGAGTTCAAGAAGCCAAATGCATACAAACAGAAGCCAGAATGTATACAGCCAAGATGAAATGTAAATGAACAGAACCTAGCACCTAAGGTAGAGCCCCTCCCCTCCACAAACGGCCAACAAAGTTAGCTGCATCCAGGCCTGGCTCCCAATAATCCACAACCCAGAGAAATAAACACAGTTCACCAAATTCCATCAGCCTCCAGGGCCAGTTCTGCTTCCCAAAAGTGGGCCCTCACATACTACCCTTTCTCCACAAGACATCTTTTTCCCCTAAACTTGCAGCATGATCACCCTGTAAAAGAAGCATTTCAACCCAGCCAAGAAACCAAAAGAAGGTAGCAATCAGCAAAGAAGCAGGCAGGCTAAGCCACAAACCCAGAAGACCCAAAGGACCAGCACCAGGCCTAGGATAAACCACTTCCTCCAGACAAACACTCCCATCTCAGCACACCCAGCTCAGTCTCACCTCTTGATCAATGCCCAGAGATCTTCCAGTTCTACAATTCCTCACTGCCAACAGGCGACTGACACAGATTGGGAGACAGGCAAAACTCCATTCTCACCCCTGAGTCTTCTTGCTCCTATTGCTACCAATCACCACTTTGCTGAAATCCGGCACAGCTGCAGAAGTGGGTATCCTGTGCCAACCACAAAGCAAGTCCCTACCACTGCATTAAATCATATCTCCCAATTAAGGAGTTTTCAACTTCTGTTCACCTTGGAGATCACTGCAGGCCCTGGTATGCAAATTGCACCCTGTGAACCAGCCACCAGAGCAAGGCAAGCTAGACAAATAGCCCATATGCACCCCCTCCTCTCCTCAACTCACCCCACATGAGTTGACAGTGACCAGGAGCAATTAGTGCTGTTAGATCCCTATGCATTTCACAGGCACAACTCAACTGAGATGGCCTTCCTTGTAATATTAATTAAAAATAGATTCTCTCTCTCTTTTTTTTTTGGCAAAGCCCTTAAGAATGGCTCCTGTCGCAGGCAGGCTTCTTTATTAAGCCTCTGAAAAGGCAAAACGCATTAAGATATTGTGACACCGAGACTAAGAAGAGAGATGATGAAGGCTAGGCAATCCAGCCAAAAGCTGCTTGAAAAATCTGTTGGGGGAGCCACAATTAGATGCTCCAGTGAGTGAAATACAATTAATCTGATCAAATCTGTCACTATTTTGCACATTAAGAGTAAATATTTTAGAGCACAGTCCAGCTGTGTTGATGCAGGGTAGGGAAATCCTGCTTGGGGGATCTGAGTGTTAGACCCTGGAACGTACTCGGGGAGGGGGATCTGGCAGGAACCTGGACTCATTAGCATCTTCCTTCATCATCAAGTGCAGCATCAGGCACATTAATTGAAAACTACCTGGCAAGACACTCCAAGCAGGCATACTGCAGCAGCCTACGAATCACTGGACAGCTGAAAAGGAGGGGGTGGGCAGCTACGAGAGAATGCAGCATCCTCACCTTGGCACAGGACCGGTGGGGAGTGAGGAGGGAGCTCAAGGGCTGATCCAAGGTGGGGCCTGCCCAATTTTCCCTCTCCAGAGCCACCTGCCATCTCACTGAGCAAGCGAGCAGAGCTCTGCCTTCATCTGAAGGAAAAGGACAGAATAATGTGTTTTTCTGTTTCCCTGTGAGCCACGGGGACTGGGCTCCCCCTGGGTGTTTGCAAAACACTCTCTAACCCATTAATCACCAGGATCCCAGCTGAAGACAAGTAGAGAGCAAACGCAAACAGCAGATCGCTCCTCCAAAATGCAGCTTCCAAGGCCACGTCCACTCGCTCCCACCCTAGAAACCCGTTAAAGCAACGTGGGCAGAGGCAGAACCCAGACTTGACACTCCACTCCTGATTTCCTCAGCCTCAACTCTGCTGACTGCCCCTTCTGCCGCCCTGCCCCAAGCCCTCCCACCCTGGTTCAGAGACCACAGGAAATACCTGCCCTCTGCATCCCCGGCACACAGGCTGCACAAGTGGGGCGACATGAAGGAGCATGGCTCCCATGTCCAGCTACAAACCCCTGATGATAATTCAGTTTGTGGTTTTATGGAAGGCTGAAAACTCTTTCAAAAAAGAGCTGAGGCAACGAAGTTTGCCAAGGCTTCCGAAGAGAGAACAAGGAATCTGGCATTGGGTTAAAGCAGCAACTAGCAATCGTTCTGATGGATGCGCTTAACACTTCAGAGGCCAGAGTTAAGAGGAAATTCTTTTTCCCTGGTCAAAAAGCCTGGTGTAGGCCCCAAGTTCTCAGCCTGGGGGGCATCTCCCTCCACTTTGACAGGGAAGGGGAGGGCCACAGGAACACATGGCCAGGGCTGCTTTAACTGAAGTCTCTTGGAAGACATGGACAAGTTCACATGGAGGCTTCACAGAGTTTCACAGACCTGACCACCAATGTGCCTCATTCCCCAGTCCTGCTGACCAAGGAGGGTCAAAAGAGGTTGGTGCAGCCCAGGGTCTAAGAGGCGACAGTCCCTCCCCTAGGCTGTGGACAGGGAAACTGGACTTGCCCGCCTTCCCACCTGCCTGCATTGACCTACCCACAAGCACAGCCAGAAAGTCTCAGGCAGCTGCCACCACGGACTCCACAGCCAACGGGGCCAGTGCCCCTGCCCTCTGGCCCTGTTTGTCTCGGGAGTCATTTCCAGAAGGGGCACAGGTCAGGCAAGCCCCTCACTGCCTCTCCTGCTCAGCCGTCCCAAGGATAGGCAAAGGGAATTTAGCTCTTACTTGCAGGAAACATATTCTCTAGCAGGCTAACTGTACTCACAAACGATCTTGGAAATCAAAGCAGAAACAAAAAGAAAACTCTTCACACAGAGCGGATTTATGCTGTGCAAATGTGGCAGTCCTAAAGCCACAGGTACTGAGGACAGCGCTCCTCCCAGGATGCACTGCTGCCACACATCCTATCCATCCTCCTCACTGAGGACAGCAACACACACACACACACTACTGCTAATTAGCCAACGGAAATGAAGTTGGTATTCGCACGAGCCCTGCTGGTAGAAGACACACACACACACACACACACACATTGATCTGAGGGCTAGGAACTCCTCACCCTGGCCACCCTGATGCCCAGAGCTGCCCAGCTGGAGACCATGGTGGTCCTCCAAGGTAGATGGACCCATGCCAATGAGCTGCTCATGAGCTGAACGCCACATCTTGGAAGGCAGCAAATGCCAGCCAGGCTGGGCTCCCTGTGTGGCAGATCCTCAAAGCCCAGGAAATGTGCACCAGACTATTTAAGCTGCTGGCTTTCTTGTCACTCGTGAAGGAAACTGGGATACCCCAGGCTCTGGAATATTACGGTGAGAATTTCCCAGGGAAATCTTTCAAATACTAATGGTGAGAATGGCAAGGTGGAGAGAAGGAAGGAGTGGGGAGGTGGGGTCAGTGCTTCCTGTCGAATGAGTTTCCCAAAGCCGCTCTCTCACCCCATTCTCTGCTCGCAGCCCTGCTCTGCCCAACACCAGCTTTTTATTGGATTCAGGGGGGAAAGGGGGGATCTTGGCAGGGTGGCCGAAGTGGCGCCCTGAGGGAAGAAAGTAGGGTTGGGGGGGGACTGTGGGAGTCGGAGAAGCCTCCTCTTGGGGCGGATGCTCTGGGGAACTGGGGACCGACCCTGAGGGTACGGGCTGCAGGCGGGTGGGCCCTGCAGCTGCCCCAGCGGGCAAGGCTCAAAGCCTGATACCCCAGTGCCAAGCACCCAAGTTCCTGGGATGAGCCCAAGGGCGCCACCTCTCGGGACAGCGGCGAGAGGTGGCGCAGGGGGTGGTGAGGTGCGCTGGAAGCACAGGGACCCAACTCCACTCCAAGTCATGCGTAGCACAGGACGCAGTGGCGCGGGAGCCAGCTTTCCGCTCACTTACCAGTGCTTGTGCTGGCGTGAGAGTGGAGTGGGGTGGTATCCCGCTCACGCTTTAAACTTTGTCACTGCCTCACTCACAGCTTTCCATGGCAACGGCCAGCGCTCTGAAGGGCAAACGGAGGCTATCTGAAGGCTAAGTGTTGAGCCCTCTTGCCCCACCCTGCAGCCAGGGCTAGGGAACTACGCGCTTGGAGAGAATCCCGGTGTGGAAACCCCGAGGCAGGCAGGAAAGAGGGGTGCCTCCATCCCGCAGTGCTGGGGGCTGGGGGCGGGGATGTGAGGGGGTGCCCTGCATGGGAGCCCATCGGGGTAGCTGGCAGCTCTCTCCCCATTCCTGTCTATGTCCCCAAATCAGGAAAGCGACTTGTCCAAGCCGAGCACAGGAGACGGCGGCCAAGCCCCGGAGTGTCCAGCGAGCCATCCACTCAGCCTCTCCAACTAACTCCGCTAACCTGGTAGGGGTGTGAGGCGAGCACAAACCCGTCCTCTCCCCCTCAACCCCTCGTTCACCTAGGCGCCCCAGCTGTCGGCCAGGACCCCCTCCCCGCTAGCCAGGTCTGTTCCTGGCTCCTGTCCCCTGCTGCCAGGTGGGTACTCACGCTGCTGTTGTGTCCCGACCAGTGCACCATGGCTTGGTTGTGTGCCGAATCCCCGGTGAGCGCGAAAGAGGTGCTCGGCAGCCGCAACTCCTCAGCCGTCGGCCCCCCGGCCCGCGGCGCCTTCACCTCCTCCCGGGAACCCTTGGCCGTGGGGCGGCTTCCTTTGGAACCGTCGGCTGGAGCAGTAGCCCAGGCGTCCGCGCGCTCCAGGCTGCCGGGGGGCTGAGCCCGGCGAGTCCTCCTCCTCGCGCCGCCAGGCTTGTCGGGCGCCGGGACGCGCTGGCCCCTCCGAGCGCCTGCCGACGTCCCCGCCGCTTCCAGCCGCACCGCACGGCCGCTGCCGCCCGGCTGGGACAGCAGCCCCGGTCTGGGTCGGCGCCCCAGCGCGGCGGCAGCTGTCGGCGCTGTCGCCAGTTCCTCCGGCCACTGGCTCGCCACTGCCCGCGGCGTGAGAGGAGCCGACGACGACGCGGCTGGCCGGGAAGCCGGGGCCGCAGGGCGTCCAGGACCGCCCGCCGTGCCCCAAGTGATCTCGGCGCCGGCTAGGACCCAAGTCGAGAGGAGTAGGAGTCCCGTCCGGGCGAGGGGCGCTCCCGGCCAGCCTGCCGGGCGCTCGGTGCGCGCCGCCTCCATCCCGCTGCGGCTACTACCACGGCTCGGGCTGCCGAGTGTGTGGCGCCCGCCGAGGTGCGGGTCGGACGCGGGCTATGTGCGCGCGCCGGCGAGTGAGCCAGTGAATCCGGGGAGTGGGGAGGGGGCGGCCGGGAAGGAGGTGGCTCCGGCTGGCAAGCCTGGCCGGTCCTCTCCCGCTCGCCTCCTTGCTCCTTAGCTCGCTCTCTGGTCCAGAGGGTGTTTCCAAACCCCAAGGAAAATTAACAAATGCTCCTTCCGTGCTTTTTGGTCCTGAAAACAAGATTCTCTCCGAATCTTCCCCCACTGAGCTCCTCCCGAGATTTTTATAAAAAAGAGAGAGAGAGAGAGAGAGAGGAGTTTGAAGGTAATAAGAAAATCCTCTTCTAAAATGGGAAAATCCAGCCGGATCCAGGGGGTGGAGCTGGCCACGGACCCCAATCCTGAGTCTCCTCGAAAACCGACCTCCAACCTGCTCCCGGAGAAGAGTTGGGAGCCGCTTTGCCGCCTCAGGGATTTACTCTTCGGGCCCGGCGCGGGGGTGCGGAGGGAGGGGCGGGGAGGGGGCTCAGGAGATGGCGCGGGGCGGGCACGGGGGTCCCGCGGGAGGCGGGAGAGGAGGAGTTAGGTGTTTTCAGCGCCAAGTGTTCGCGTTCCGGAGCGGAGAGGAAGCCCGAGCGGGCAGGCGGCGCGCGCTGAAGCCGGGCGCGGGATGGAACCAGGGCTTGGCTCGCGGCTTCGGGCCGCCCCCCACTCCACTCCGCCAGGCCTGCGCCCCCGCCCCGTGCGGGGGCGCGGGGAGTGCGTGCGTGCGCGTGCGTGCGCGGGCGAGAGCAGAGGGGTGCCCCCGGGGCTGGGGACCGGGCCGAGCCAGCTGGGGGGGGCGGCTCGAAGCGTGCGCGTTGGCATGAGCGTGTGTGAGCGGAGGGGCGGGGAGCGCGCGCGGGCCGTGGGCGCTCCCGGATCACGCACGGGCAGTGTTTGCATTTGCTGGAGCCTCTGAGTCTTCAGGAAGGCAGTGCTGAGAGTGAGGCAGGCGGCTCGCCGCAGCCCCCTCCTCCTGGCCACCCGCCCATGTAGCCTGACTGAGCCTCCCCGGCAGGCACCCTGACTCAGAACCAGCAGGTGCCGGGACGCGTCCAGGGGCGTGCCAACCACCACCACCACCACCACCAAGGGCTCCGGGGCGCCCCTTCCCAGGACCCCTGACCAGAAGTAAGACGGGAAGAGGAGTGGAGACAGTCTGTTTCCAGCGGGGAAATCCAGACCCCATCTTCCTTCCTTAGATTGCGGAGTCGTGTCCTCCCTTATTCCCAAGTCAGTTTCTGAACAGGCTGGCTTGTTTCCAAGTATCCCAGCCCAGCCACCCAGCCACCCAGCAGTCCGGGTGCCTGGTGCGCCTAGACCCTTCATGACCCTAGGAAGATGGAGACTCCAGGTGACTGAAGCACAGGGACTAACCCTAAGGACGGGCGGTGCAAGAGACCCCAGGATTTTTGTTTTTATTTAACTGGGGGGGGGGGGGTTGGAAAGTGCGAGACGGAAAGGAAAGTGGGGTGTAGGGAGGAGAGCCCCTACAGGCTCTTTCCTTCCTCTTTGGAATTAAAATGGAAAGAGGCAAGAAAGGAGCATCTGGACCGGTCCCTGAGAACCCCGGAAGCTGGGGAGATGCCCCGAAGAGCCGGTAGAGGCATGGCAGCAGCCAGGGACTCCCGGGAGCCCCGGCACCGGGGGTGGGGGTGGGGGGTTGCTTTCCCACCCGAAACCAAAATGGGAACGGGGCGAAGGGGAGGCCGGGGCGGAGAACGAATCCAATGACAACGAGAACGAGCTCTGTCCTGGCGCCGGCGCGTTTTCTGAAGACCAAGGGCAGTGACCAGCCGCAAGGAAAGTTGCAGAGCCGCAAACCCAGGTAGGCACGGGATCCCACTCTGCACAGGAGCCGGCCATCCGCGGATACCCAGTGCCCCTGTCGGAGAGAGCCTTGCACTGCAGCCCGAGCCGGGGCGCAGGCTTCCAGAAGGTTGCACAGTGTCTCTGAGCCACTCAACGAAGAGGCTCAGGGTGTCTGGGAGACCCCAGGACTCTAGCAGTCAGGGTCTCTCTCACACCATATTTCACTCGGAGAAATGCAGGGTCCAGTCGCAAGAGGCTTTCCGTAAGGAGAGGCTGTAGCTCTAAGAAGTGTCTCCTGGCTCCCTGTCCCACCTAGGGGAGGCCCTGCAGTGTGGGCAGCTGTGGAAGGGTGGACTCATTAGCATGGACTTAAAGCAATGTGCCCAAAGTATTTACTGAAAGGAAAAAGGGAAAAAAAAGGTAAAAGGCTCCGGCAAGTCGACATGTGACATTTCCCTGCATCTTCTGTTTTACCTGCTCTGCCCCACGACCCGTGACTGCCTGACCCCTAGCATCCTAGTTCCCACCAACTTCTTCTAGTGACCAAGTCCATTTATGTATTCTCCCCGGTCCATGCAGGCTCCCCTTCTTGACCAGCCACTCTGTGCTGGTCCCTTTTCAAGCTGACATCTGCCAAGCTCACAGACACCGCTCAGGGCTCGCTAACAGCCGCCCCAAGCACTTCCCTGCTTCTGCCTTTGGAAGCCTGACCCCTCGGAAAAGGTCAACTTTGGTCTATGTTGATCCAAGGTCTCCGGGGTCCTTCGTGGACAGCCTCCATCCATTTCCCTGTGTCTCCTCTCTCAGTCACATGATATATGCCAGGTCCCACCCTACGTCATTGCCTGTCTTCTGTGGTTGCGCTCACTCTTGTCTAACTCCCGGATGAGCCTGTTAACCTGACCTCACACATTTCCATCCTTCAGATGCTTTCTGGTTGTTGACTCCCAGGCATGCAACTACAGTACGTTCTTACTCCAGGGAGCCACTCCTGAATTCCCCCCAGGTTCCAGACACATATGGCTTCGTGGGTTTTCTGTTGATACAACAGAATCTCTGGGACTGAATAGGTTCCTCGGAAACAAAAGAGACTTATTTAGCTTGCAGTTTGGTAAGGCGGGGAAGGTCAGGAGCGGTGGCTGCATCTGGCAGGGGCCTCCTGCTGCGCCACAGGATGGTGCGTTGGGTCATTGGGTCATGTGGTAGGCGTGCAGGTGAGCACAGAAAGTGGAACATGAAGAGGCACATTGAAGGGGCAGGGCAAAGGGGCTTGATCCAGTGAGGTGGTCCCCAATTTCATAACCACACACTCTAGCACTAGAACTCTGCCATAGCAGTGGAAAGGGCCCCCTCACTTCAGTGCCACCATTTTGGAGGATGAAGCCTTAACATAAGTTTTGACAGTGACACAACTCATTTTCACTTATTTGTGGGCCAAATCTTCAAAAGCTAGTGTGTTTAAATACTTTCACTGCAAATTACCCACATTTCAAGTGTGCAGAATCAGGGCTGACTAGTAGCTACAGTTTCCAACAGCAAAACTTCCTGCTGTTGACAGAAAGGATTACACCACGGAGTGTTTTCCTCAAATTCATGAACAATAAACCGTAAAGTCCAAACTTCTTAGAATGGTGTGTGAGGTTTCACGCACTGATCCACCTCGACTTCCTTGATGTATTCTTTATTTTTTTCAATCCAGTTTCCTAATCTATGATATTTTATCAATGAGTTTAAGGTCTTTACATTCAGGGTTAATATAAATAGGTGGTAATTTGTTCCTGTCATTTAGCAATGGGTTGCTCATTGATTTAGTCTTCTGTTTTTATTTTACTGGGATGTTCACATTTGCCTTTGGTTGTGCATACTATTCCTCTTCCCTGCCAAGAGAACTTCTTTGAGTATCATTTGTAGGGCAGGCTTGGAAGAGACACAGTCTAATTTTCTTTATTGTGGATGAATTTTATTTCTATTTATTTATTTATTTATTTATTTATTTTCAACAACAAAGGAAAGCAGTGCTGGTTATTCTGGGACAATTTTTTACTTTTAGAATCTGGACTATGTCATTCCATTGTCTTCTGGCCTGTAGAGTTTCTTGTGAGAGATCAGCTGTGAATTTAATTGCCATTCATCTATATGTCAATTGATTTTTTTTCACATGCACATTTAAGGATCTTTTCCATCTGTTTGATTGAAGAGAGCTTGATTATCACGTGTCATGGTGAAGATCGCATTTGGTCAAACCTATTGGGAATTCTGTGCCACTTTTGGATGTTGTTTCCCAGTTCTTTCTCCAGATTAGGGAAATTTTTCTTTATTATTCCATTAAATACATTTTCAAACCCAGCTTCTCTTTCTGCACCTTCTTGAACTCCCATCACTCATATTTGGCCTTTAATAATGTTTATTAATTCTTGAACTTTTTTTTTAGCTTGACCCAGCTCTGCTCCCAGCTTTTATTTCCCCCTGGTGACAGGAAATATCTTCTAATTTTGAGATTCTTTCTTCTGCCTCCTTAATTCCACTATTGGGACTTTTCAGTGTTTAATTTGCTCTATTGTGTCCTTCATTTCCAATAATTTGACTTGATTTTGTTTCAGTGTTGCTATTTCCTGTGTGACAGACTCCTTAAATTCCTTGAACTCTTGTAGGTGCTTCCTGTAGTTGGTAAGAAGTTTTATAATGTTTTATGAATTCTGTATCCACCATTGTTTCTATGTATTCCTCAGTTAACTCTGAGGTTGACAAGAGCTTTTGCTCCTTTGCAAGGGAGTCTTCAGTCATATTCGTCGTGCTTCTTTCTCTTATTTTGGTCTTGGTCACTGTACTTCTGGTTATCAGATTCTTCTCCTTGGGGCAGGTTTCTAAGCTGTGTCACCCACAGGTCTGCAGTTTGATTTTACTTACTGCAGTTGGTACCCAGTTCTTTGTTTGCAGTCACTTGTACCCCTCCTTCCAGCAAGTTTCAGGTCTGGGCTCTTAGGTTACACCTGCACCACACCACAGTCTCTGTAGCCCCAACTAGTTACTCACCACTCGCCACCTCCTGTGATCCCATGCTGAGGCTAAACCACTTGTACAACCTTTCTCCCCCTACTTGTATGAGCACTTCAAAGGATTAGGGAGACACCAGGTGTCTTAAATGGCTAGGTTGTTGCTAGTGCTGATCTTGCTGGAACCTGTTTGCCATTAGGTCTGAGGGCCACCCAGACCTATTTTGACCTGTAGAATGTAAAAATTGTT